TCCCTATCCTGTTTCTCCTTTGTATCCTTTCTTTCTCCAAATGGAGTGCCAGTCTGTGGGGATGGGTATCTTCTAAATAAGCTGCTGATGCTGTGTTGGTACAGTCACGGGATCTTTCCTATTTACACACTCCATTGAATTTGGGATCAAGCCCTTGAATGTCATTCACAGAGCTAGGCCTGGTTTTCTTTGGGTAAACAGCCAGAGAGGGCAGTTTTAAGAGGCCATTTTATTTAAATGTGGTTTATACTGAAGAAGATCTTAGAGGTATTTCTCTTTCCTCCACTACCCTACCACAAATCCCATCTGTCTTGTCATCTATTGCTGGACATGACACTTACAAGAGAAGTACATGATTCCATGATTCCAAGAGCAAACTATTTACTTCTCTGATGCCTTAAAACCCTCCAGGCAACTCACCACAAGTCCTTCACTATTTTAATTGTGGACATGAGACAAATCAGACAACGGTCACAGCCTCAGAACAAAGCTGGGCTGAAACCGTAGACTGTGATGTCTGAGCCCATTTGCTATTGAGCTACAAGTATGTGGTGAAAGTATGTTTTGAAAACTTCTCTAAAATCCTGAGCTGCTTGGGATTTTGAGTCGGCCGAGTTTCCCCTGAGGATCTGCAGAATTTCATCCCTGATTCTGCTCTGCTGTGCACAGGAAAGCCCGGGTGATGCTCTGCAATGACAGTTCCCATCCAGCACAGTGACTGTGCCAGCCCTGAAAGCAGGACTGAGAAACATCCCGTGAATTGAAAGCATTTTATAAATAGCCTGAACTGAGCAGCAGACTGGTGAGACAGCTATATGTGAATATACCCGTGTTACAGACAAATGAGAGAAGGGATGAATAATAGAAATACTTTTCCAGAAGCCAAACAGTACTCCAGTGAAAGCACTGGCATCCTCCCTCAACCACTTGACCACATTCTGGCTTCAGTTCAGGGAGGCATTACTAATCAGGAAAAATGCTCATGTACTGGCTTAATTTCAAGCATATGCTTAAGTTTCACTGAAACCAATTAGACTTAAGCATGTGCTTAAGTCCTGTCCTGAGCTGGGTTCAGTTTGCAGATAGGCAAAATGCAAGGTTCTGTTGTGATAGTTTTCCACCCCCAGTGGGTGTTATTTAAGTTTTATAACTTTATAATATCGTAATATAAAATGTATCTCATTCCACACAGCTGTTCTCTTGGGAATGCCTTATTCTGAGTGAATTAAAAGCACCACTAACTTGATCTCCACACAAATGCAAGAAAAATTGATTTGCTAAATACAACCATTTCGTTTGCTTTTAAAAGAATGCTTATTCCTTTAGTGGCTAACCCAAAATCCATTCTGTGTGCTCTCAGGAGAGAAAAATGCTAAAGAAACACTGGTTTGCTCTGTTAGGAAAGTCTGTGTGGAAAAGTGTAATTCACTTATGCAGAATATATTGATATGTTCCTTATCACCCATTTCTTTCCAGCCTGAACATTCCTCAGAAAATATCAAAGGTTTTATGTCATCTCTAAATGAAGGAATGTGTAATGCTCCATGACTTCAGGCCCTGATCTTATCCCCATGAATGGGTGACTAACTGAAACATTAGAATTATAAATGGGAATAATAAATTCTGGCCATAGGAGGCAATAACATGCAACAGATTAGGCAATCTAGCTCTGGAGAAGAGCTGATCTACAGTAACTAATTTGGTGCAAACTGTAATATATGCATTTTCTCCTCCATTTATGAAGAAACAGATGCGTGACTCATATTTGCTTTTTTCCAAAGTCAATCTGCTTGGAGGAACACAAACAAGATTTGTTTCCAGCAAGGAATATTACAGCATTTCTCTCTTGGTTGATGTTTTTTACCCTTTGAAAGTGAGCAGTGGGTCTGAATCTGGAGCACACAGCCCCTGTGCAGCACAAACCCACTGGCAGGCTCCCATTCCCAGGCTTGGGATCTTTCATCTTAATTTTACCACCATATATGTTGTGGGGAATTTCCATTTCTGTCTATCATTTGATGCTGTGGGTCCTGTACAGACGAGCACTGGAGCAGCTGGTCAGTATTTGCCACTGCTGCTGTCCCAAGGCTTGACCCAGTCTGTGCTGATTGCGGGGATGAGCTGCCCTTCCAGGTGCTGCCGTTCCTGGTTGCCTGAGTGCTTGTGCAGCCCCCTTGCTCAGAGACTTTGGGGATCCCTGGGATGCAGCACGCACCGGAAAGCTGAAAAAAACCCTGTTTTGTCTGGTTTCTGTGCTGAGGAGCTCTCTGGAAACGCTTGTGGTTAATCGATACAGACAGACGGGATAGGAGTGAGGGGAAGAGATCACAGCCGGGGAGTTTGTTTAAGATTTTCCTATGAATGAGTATTTTTGTCTCGAAGATGAATTGTGAATAATTCCTTCCTCCTGCCCAAGAACTCTACAGAGCAGTTAATTTGTGTCTCTCTTAAGATAGAGGAGCTGCTCTGATGTGCTTCACCAGGGGCTGAGTAACAGAGTGACATATGAGTGACAGCCACTTTATGCTGCTCTTGGAATAGAGATGTGCCCTAACTACAGATTTTAGGTCTGGAACTGAACTTTTCCAGCTTGAAAGGATGTTTGGATCTGGTGGGGCTGGGCTGGAGTATTTGAGAGAAAAAAGCAGCCACAAGATTTGGACACAAGCCAATAGCTTTTGGTTTGAGGATGCATCCAGCTTGGAGTCTTGTGTACAATTAAGTAAGACAAAATCCCTAGGAATTCCCATCATGTCCAATATTTACATTCTGGAGGCTTTTTTTTTCCTTTTTTTTTTTTTTTTTTTCCTTTCCCCATGGAGTTTGATCCAGATTATAAAAATTCCCTTTTCTATTGAATGTGTCAAAATGCAGTGACTGCATTGCCAAAGTGTCTGTGCTCCCAAACAATGCAGACTTTTAGTGTTTCTGCCAAAAGTAGCACTAAGGGTTCAGTCAGATATTGAAGCTTCTGCTGCAATAAACACACAGAGAGCACAGTTAGGGAGTTGAAAAAGGGGTTATATTGTGTATATTCTATAGCTATACACTGCACTGACACCTCTGGGGTCACTCTGTGGTTATGGGCAAGAGCAAATCTGACCCTTATGTCCATTGCCTCTAGTACAAATACAGTTATTTTAGTTTATTGTATTCTCTAGGATAATAATGTCATGTTTGTTTGAAGTGTGGTTCAGTTTTGGACTGCCCTTGTTCTGATGGCTCTCCAAAAGCTTTGCCAGTAATTGGGCCTCTCAGGGCAGTCAGATGAAACTTGGCATGTCCTGCACATGAGTAAAAAAAGAGCCCTGGGAGTGTGGAGCACATAGGATCACAGAGCAAAGTCCTGGCAGAACTGGGATGAGGATGAAGATGCCCAGCTCCCAATGGCCCTACTAAATAGGTGCCCATGGGGCAGCCTCACACACTGCAGCTGCCAAATCAAAGGCTTAACCAATAGCAATGGGTTTTGTCATCCAATATTTTCCCATTTTCATATGAAGACTGACAGGAACTGCATCTTAGGAAGCACTAGTGCAAGCAGTTGTGAAGGAGCTGGATGTGCCTGCTCGCCACATCCAGCCCTTAAAGACAGTAAGAACTCTAGAATTGTGAGTCTGCTCCAAAAAGAGCCCTGAACACTAATAATGTGTCTTTCCAGCTAGTTCAGTCCAGTGCAGTGCATAGCGAGGTACCAGGAAATCCAAGGCTGGCAGAACCTCCCTGGCAGATCCCAGCTGTGATTCTCACCCTGAGTGTTTATATTTGTGTTCCATCCTGAGCTTGTGAATCAGGGAATTCTGCTGACGTTGCTCAGCAGAGCTCGTAGCTTGCCCGTGGTTTGCAGCAGATCTGTGTGTGCCTGGTTCATCCACAAACACTTGTTGTTAGGAAGGTGATTGCACTCCCCAAGCCCTGCATGATCTCACCTGTCCCTTCTCTCAGGTGCAGCCACATGGTTTGGGGTTTCTCTTCCCAGAGAAAGGTCTGGTTTGGGCAAATCTCCCTGTAAAGATCACAGGATGGTTCAGGTTATATCAAGGTACATCTGAGGCACACAGGGACTAAGATGAGCAGTTGTGACTCTGTCTTGAGCTCCTGGATGGAGGCACCGAGGATCTTTTGTTCCAGCTGATAGGCGGGCTGGAAATCAACCTGTGTCCTACCACTGGTATGGAGTGAATAAAGGCTGGCTTGAAAATGTCCAGCACACTCCTGGGTAAATTGCACAGTACAGCTGGAGCAAGCAAGCCCTGTCTGGGCTCATAAACCCCCATCTGGGCTGAGCACCACTGGGACCAGGGACCAGGCTCTGCCAGACAGGGCAGTTGTAGGACAGCAGAGAATTGGCAGGGTGTCAGGAGGAGCTTCCCTGAGAGCTCATTCCATGGTGTTATGAAGAGGCAAATCCCAAATTTCTTCGTGAGTGCCAGAGAGGTTAGCTTAAGTGGAGTGAAAAATATATAGGAATACATGTACATGAGTGTGTGTGCATGTAAAGGTCTTCAGGATTTAGCTGAGTGTTCACACATTCCCTAAGCCAATAACATCCGTTGTTATGGGAAATGAGGTAAGTGACAGAATTACTGTCCTTATGGCGGGCGACAGGCGAGGCCAATGTTCCCATGCTGTAATTCCCTGTTCCAGTCACTGCCTCAACAATAGCCGGGGAGAAAGAGAGAGAGAGAGAGAGAGAACACGAACAAAGACCGCTTGGTTTTATTCGAAGATTTCATCTGAAAAACAGTTGGATTCAGATGAAACTCAAGCGGGAAAACCTGAGCGAAATAAAAAAAACCCTGTGCACTCAGCGAAGAGCTGAGAGTTCACCCGTCTTGGGGGATGTTTCTCCAGCCGCTCGGAGCCCTCGGCGGCCGGTGCCGGGCCCGCAGCGCTGACTCCGCTCCCTCTCCCTCTCCCTGTCCCTGTCCCTGTTCCTGTCCCTGTCCCTGTCCCTGTCCCTGTCCCTCTCCCCCATCCCGCTCGGTGTCCCCGCTCAGCCTGCGCGGCCGCGGAGCCGCCTCTGCGCTGGGAGTCGCGGTGCCGGCAGCAGCTCCGCCACCTGCAGGACGGCGCCAGGATCGCGGCGCGGCTGCCGCCCCGCCTGGAGGGGCGCTGGGTCTCCACCGGGTAAGGCACCCCCGGACCCCGGGCGGGAACCACCCCCCAACCCCGGGAATGCCCCCCCAGGTCCCGGCAATACGCCCCTTATCGCTGGGAACGCGCCCCTAAAGCCCCGGGTGAGGCACCACCAAACCCTGAGAACGGGCTCCCAGATGCCAGCAAGGCATCCCCAAGCCCCGGGAATGCGTCTCCAAACCCCAGGAAGGCATCCCCTAAATTCCTTTGGACACATGCCCCTAAACCCTGCGGGAGGCACCCTGTATTCCTGGGAAGGCACCTCCATCCCCGGGAATGCACCCCCAGCCCCATCTGACCTCCCATCCCAGCCCGAGCCAGGCTCTCTCTCCAGCACTCTCATGCTTTGGTAGCAGGTGTCCATTAAGATCACCCAAGAGCGGCCACCAGGTGTGGGAGGGTCTTGTCCCCGCTGCTGCCCCTGCCCCGATCCCCTCTGCCCCCACGGCCCAGGGAGGGATCTCACCCCGTGCACCCCCAGCGCCAGGCGGCTCAGGACGGCCTTCCCCGCAGGTGTGAGGTGCGGCCGGGGCCCGAGTTCCTCACCCGCTCCTACCTGTTCTACGCCAACCGCCTCTTCAAGGCCTACCAGTTCTACTACTGGGACCCCTCGTGCCGCGAGCCCTCGTACACGCTGGTGATCAAGGGCAAGCTGCGGCTGCGCCAGGCCTCCTGGATCACCCGCGGCGCCACCGAGGCCGACTACCACCTGCACAAGGTCGGCATCGTGTTCCACAGCCAGAAGGCCATGCGGGAGGTGGCCTCCTGGATCAACCAGACCTCCGGGCAGGGCTGCGGGGGGTTCCTGCCCCCGGGGCGCGCCTGGGCCCCCGGAGCCCTCTACGAACTGCTGAGCGCCAAGACGGAGCGCGACTGCACGGCCGCCCTGGGCTTCGCCATGCACGAGCTGAGCCTGGTGCGGGTGGAGAAGCACTACCAGCCCTTGCTGCAGCCAGGGCAGAGCGGCAGCCAGCTGGTGGAGGAGCTGTACCTGGGGGACATCCACACGGACTGGGTGGAGAGGCTCCACTACCGCCCCACCGGTTACCAGCGACCCCTGCAGAGCGCCGTGGTAAGGATGAGGCCTTTATGTGGTCCCCTCGCCAGGTCACAGGCTCTGCCACCATTTATTTCCTTGGTTTTTAAGTAGTGCCTGCTGCACTTGGCCTTCCCTGTCCTAAGGATGTGAGGGTGAGGCAGTGAGGGGCTGCAGGTGCGGATTCCTGGGTGCTCCACGGCACATGGGGTTCAGCCTCTCCCGTGCTGAGAGAGTGGGACTGGGGTGAGTGAAAGCTCAGCAGAACCAGCACGGGAAATGAGCCTGCATTGGCATGGCCTGGAGTTAACGGCCTTGCTTTGGCTCTGTGTTTTCCTAGGAAATGATGTTTCCTATTTTGCCGCACCGAAGTCCGTGGAGGCTTCGGGCTGCACGTCATTAGAGCTGCCTGCTCTGTCCTTCATCTTCCTGCCCTCTCCTTCCCTCCTCGGGGGGTGCTCAGGGGGAGAGGAGCGAGGCAGCACCATCTGCCAGTAACTCCTCGGTGTAACGCCATCAGCAGAGGCAGTGGCCCCCAATACAATTATGTCATTACACAGAAATCAAACTTCTGTTTTGACATACGTAAAACTGAGCAGGAGACTTGCTGGCCTTTCATTCTATTTTATTTTATATTTTACAGCAGGTCAGTTTATTCCCAGGAAAGCACCTTTCCATCTGAATCACAGCTGATCAATTCAGAAACGACTGAGCAGTGAGACAGGATGAAAAAACCTTCTTTCTGAACTTTACCAGATAGAATGGAAATAACTGGGGAAAAAATTATGTTGGGGCAACATTTCCCCACCAACTGAACTCTGAAAAGCACAGAGCAACACCCCTCTCCCTCTCAAAAGCAACATTCTCAAATTGGTTAAACTTGTGTTATCTCGGGCCAAAACCATATATATGAGCAAAACCAGATGGTAAACATAAACACTTTTAAAAGTTAATTTAAAACCAAACCTAAAGATACCGAAATTCACTCTCTGAATGTAGCCCTGTAATTAATCAGCCAACAGCTCTCCAATGGACCCACACATGATGTCACCACTTGGCGATAATTAGAAGCTGCCATATATTAGAAATAACTTCACACGACTGGTTTAAGCGAGTAAGGTTTTTGGCTCCATGTCTATAGTGATAATTTTATTGGGCACAGGATTTTTACTTCTTTTTCTTTTCTCTTAACTGACATCCATTTGCCTGTGCTGGTGAGTTACACAGCTATGTTAGGAATTATTTTTTAACTCTCTTTACAAAAATACCACTCTTTTTCCCTAAAATTTATATCTGTTTTAAAGAAACCCATTCTCCCCAAATTACCTTTCATTATCAAAGAATTTCCTGCCTAAGGAGAGCATATATATTTGCCAACTTCTGGGATTATTTAGCCATAATGTACTGTGTACTGTCAGCACTCATTAACGTGACAGTAGCAGTAAAGCAAGCTGAAAATGACTAAATTACAGTAGACTCCAATCAACCTGCATGTAAATTACCCACCCTACAGTTAACTACTGAGTTATTTAACCTTCTTGCCTATGACAGTTCAGTAAAGATTAGCTTGTGTTCTAGAAAATTATATAATGTTCAAACCCTGCTTATTTAAAAATAAATCAGTTGTGATATATGAAGTATAAGAAAAAATTCCAAGCTACACAAAACCCCTGCTGGCAGCGGATCAGGGGCAGGGCTGGTTTGACTCAGAGCTCTGCAGGCAGCACAGGAGGGGGAGCGAAGGTCAGGGCCTCCTTCTGCAGTGGGTCCTTTTGTTCTCCCATTCTGCCAGCTGGGAAAGTTCTCTGTCCTTCTCCCTCCCCACCTGCCCCACCCTGGTCCTCACACCCTGGATGGGGTGAAGGAGAACCAGAACATGATGGGATTTTGGCTGTCCTGGAGAGGCTCCATCGCCACGGTGCAGCACAGCCACAGGAGCCTCCCCACGGGAAGGTTTCACAGCCTTTTCCATCGCCAAAAACACCGTGTCACTGTTCTGAATCGGGGCAGAAATGCCGTGGTGGAGCTGACACCTCCCAGCACCCCCAATCCTTTTCCAGCTTGCCATGGAAAAGCGGTGGGATGTCCCAGGGGAGCGTTCCCTGCCCTGGCAGCAGCTCTGCCCTGCCCTGCCCTCCTCTCTCGGCCTGTCCTCAGCGGCCCTGCACGCAGGACACAGCCCTCTGTCCTTCAGCTACCAGAATAGCAAAGAGCCAGGGCAGCGCTTTATCTCACTTAATCTGCTCGGATGCCTCGTGCTGGCTCCCTGCAGTGCAGCACCCTGGTGTGGATGGGGAGGAGTTTGAGCTTTTGGAATATTCTGAAAGGTTTTGTGTGGTTTTTTTGGGGGTTTTTGGGGGTTTTTTTCTTATCAGTTTACAGAGCTGTTGTTTTTTGTCTCCTGCAGCACCACGTTCACCCTTGCCCGGCCTGTGGGATCATCTACAGGGCTGATGAGCACCACCCACCCATCCTCCCTGCCGGAGCCCAGCTGCCCATGCAGCTCAGCGGCAGCTGGGTGAGCACCCACTGCGAGGTCCGGCCCGCCGTGCTCTTCCTCACCAGGTACTTCATTTTCCACGGTAACAACCACACCTGGGAAGGGTATTACTATCACTACTCAGACCCGCTCTGCAAACAGCCCACCTTCACCATCTACGCCTCTGGGCACTACTCCCAAGGCATCCCCTCCTCCAAGGTGAGGGGCGGCACCGAGCTGGCTTTTAAAGTCACCCAGGCTCGGGTGACGCCGATGGACCAGGTGACGGTGATGATGCTCAACTCCTCAGAACCCGGCAGCTGTGGGCTGGCCAGCTCCTGGAGCGCTGGGGTGGAGCAGGATATCACAGCCACGAACGGATGCTTGGCTTTGGGCATCAAACTGCCCCACACCGAGTACGAACTCTTCAAAACGGAGCACGACACGCGGGACCGGAGCCTCCTGTACATCGGGGAGAGACCCACGGACGGGTCCAGCCCCGACAGCCCCGACAAGCGACCCACGTCCTACCAGGCCCCTCTGGTTCAGTGTGCTGGAGCCTCAGAGGAGTTCTCCAACTACGTTAGTCTAAAATACTTGGGAAGAAAGGATGCTAATGGGAAGGAAGCACTAAAACCTTTGCCTGTGGCCTTTTTATTGTTTATAGCACTTCTGTTTTTAAGATGGGACTAGTTATCCATTCAGGTACAGCACAGAACCCAGATAAATCTTGGTGCTAGCGTGATTTTTATATCTTTCAAATGAGCACATCTGGAATCAGTTTTTCTCAGATTTGGAAACACTTTTTAAAAACACCCAGTAGTGAACGAAGCCAAGAAGATACGCCTGACTCCATACTGTTTGTCCCGTGGCTTTATTGCCTAATCTCCCCTCCTTGCGTGCAAATTTAATGTAGTGACAGGGATGTGCTGCACATTGCAAGGGATAATTCAGCAGCATGAGGGGGGAGAAAAAGTGACATCAATTAAAATTGCTGCTTTGAGCTTTTGACATCGCTAAGATTTAATCAAGAGCTTGATTCCGATGTAATTCCAACATCCGAAGTGTCGGCTGCTGAGTTTCTTTGAGGTTAAGTTCCCTCCCATCACACTCCTTTTTGCTGTTCATGCAAATTTAATCTGCAGAGTCAGTCAGCAATAAACAGTCAGCGAGTGTTCTTGAGAAGGGCATGGTTCACGTGCCTTTTGCAGTTCACAGACACTTCCTGCACCTCTCCCGCATGTGTCACACGCACCGAGGTGCGACGTGCGGTCTCCCCCTCAGGGCTGCCCAGAACAGCCCTCTCGGAGCATTTACCTCGGCTGCTACGCCTGCCCCTCCTCACAGCAAATGGAAAATGCCTCTGTGCACAACAGCTCCAGCCTCCAGCGTTCCCTGGCTGCAGCACTGCATCCCTGCTGCGCTGCTCTGGCTCTCCAGCACAGTCCTGACTCCTGCTCACCAGGCGTCCTGTGAAGGAATAGATCCCTCACGAGTCTTGCCAGGCCAGGTATTTTCACTGTCTCCTTTTCAGTCTGTGTACTGGCACACCAATTGTTAATCCAGCTCTCCTCTCAAAGTGTCCCTTCCGGCCTCTTTCCTGTACAGATGTTTTATAAATCTGCCTCTGGTGAACAATGGGCTGGGGAGATGCTCAGATCAGACAGCACAGTCAGGTCAAACTGATTCCTACTGACAAGCAGGACAAACTCAGAAATTATATTCCCTGTCTGCTGCAGCTAAGAAGCATATAATTTCCTTGGAGAAGCCCTCCCCCAGCAGCTAAATCCTCTCCAAACAAGCCTATACATCCTACCCACAAAGGATATTTTGTTAAAGCAGCTATGCAATAGCCACCTTCTTAATGCTGTATTTACGAACTTGCAGCTTGTACTTAGATAAATTATGGGGTTTATAACACAAAAATACTTTGGGGGGATCTGTACATTAATAATTCAAATGAGATGCTTATTAAATGCATACAGTTGTGACACAAGTGTTGTCAGCATGTTCACGTGTCCCAGGCACGATCAAATATTTATCATGCACATAAACACACTTCTAAGATGACACACAAAAGGGCCAGGCTTGGCTGCCTCGCCTTGGGTTCCCTCCCCAGTCTGAGGAGGAGCCTTCCCCAGGGATTAGTTCAGCAGGCAAAGCCTCCCTGTTTCCAAGGGTGGTTGTGCTTTGTTGCACGGAGATCCACAGGCAAACGTTTGAGGGAGTGGATCTTGGAGAAGGTGGTGTCTCCTTTGGGATGTTCCCCTCGGGATGCTGTGGGCTGGGGCAGCACAGCTGCATCTCGTGGCAGCCACGCTCGTGGCACAACTCAGCGGTTTCCCATCCCGGTGCTCCAGCGCCGCTCCTGCAGCCCAGGGGAAGCTTCCTGGGACTCAGAGCAGCAAAGGTACCTGTTCCTGCAGGACCCACTCCATGGCAGGAATAGGGAACAGCTTTGTGCTGCCTTTGGAGGGCAGGTGGAGCAGAGGGAAGGCAATTCCTGGCCAACACTTACCCCCAGGAATGAGATTTGTGTGCAGGTGCTTCTCTTTCTTTCATAGCACAGAAACATTGAAGACTTCAGGAGCCACATGGTGTAAGAGCTCAAGTCTACACAGATCCTTTCCAGGTGGGAATGGGATTAACACGATATAAAGCATTACAAGACAACATCACACACTTATGCAACAGCAACAAGCCCTTGAGAAAGCTCTGCCCTGCCCTGCAGCAGCTCAGGCATTGCTGGCTCCAGCAGCACCGGGTGCTGAGGCACAGCCCTGACTGAACTTCCCTGGGGAAACCTCATCAGGAGCCTCTTTGTCCTGTTCCCACCCCTCCAGCCCACCCTTAAGGATACTTCTGAAAGGAAAAAAAGCCATGGAAGACCTATTTGCATAAATATCATAACTTTTATTGTTCTGTTCACAGTTTTTGAAGACACATTCCTAAATTACACAGTTACTCTCTCTGTAAGAATTTGTGCCTTTTCCCAATTTGAATTTGCCTGGCTTCCACTGCCAGTCAGTGATTCTTGTGTTGCTCTTTTTATGCTCAGAGAGCTGCAGTGTTCAGTGTTTTCCCCCTGTGAAGGTATATTTGTGCACTGTAATCAAGACAGTCTCAACTTTGGTAGAAAAGCTCAGCCAAGTGAGTTTTCTCTCTCACCCTCTCTAAGGCATTTTCACACTCCACCAGTAATTTCTGCATCTCTTCTTTTTTGCATCCATTCCAATTACTCAGCTTCTCTTTTAAAATGTAAATATCCAAACTGCATCCGAAATTCCCAGCTCTCACAGCTGAGACATACAGAAGGATAATCACTTACAGCTCACAGTAATTAAAAACAAGAACACATTCCTATTCATTTGTCTTTTACCCTGGGACTGCACTGGGAATGTTCATGGAGCCGTTATTCACTCTGGTCCTGGTAGGGATATTTTTGCCATGTTACCATTTTCTCAGCAGTGGTTTTTTATGTTTTCATCAGTGATCTGGAACCACTGAATCTGCCAGGTCCCCACAGAATCCCCCTGAGCATCCCCATTTCACTGTGGTTCCCTTTGAGCTTCAGCAACGTGTGATTGTCAGGAAACACGGAGCTTTGCTGGGGCCCAGACAGACTCTAATCCCAAAGAGAACTGAAGACCAAGGAGAATGAAAGGACTTCGATCACGCTCCTTCAGGAACACCCATCTCCTTCTCCACCTCCTTTTCCCAGGGCTGTCACAGTGCCTCTCCTGTGTTGTCCTGTGCTGTCCCGCTCACCACCCTCAGCAGCAGCTCCAAACTGCCTGTCATGGGTTCTCCAAGCTCCTCCCTTCCAAATTCAAGCCTTCAAGGCCTACCTGTTATTTTCAATACTGAGCGTTGCTAAGGAATGACATCCCCTTTCCACTTCTCTGACATCATCTCCAGGTTTTACCATGGTCCTTATCCTATGGCAAAGGTTCCCCCTGAACTCCAGCTCTTCATCACCCTCTCCGAGCGCTCCAACCCGCATGTTTTGCTTTTCCTTTGGCTCGTGCTTTCCTTACTCATTTTCTACACTTTCTAACTCCCATTTTGAATGGATTGCTGTCTGCTTCCCTTTTTCTCATTTGTTTTATATTACTTTCCATCTAATTTTTCCCTTCATTTCATCACTGAAGCAGGATGGGCAGTTAGCCAAAGTTGTCCCCCCTCTCGACTGCAAAATTATTGGGTTTTTGGCCATTTAATACCTTTCACTTAGAAAACTGCCAATTCTAATTCAGTTTTCCATCTAATTTCTTCCCCACTACCAGATCTGATATGAAATTTGCTCAGCTATGCCCTTTTGAAGCAGCAATTACATTTATTAGAAGCTCACATGGCCCTGTGCTGAGCTCCACTGTAATCGGGATTCCAGCTTGAGTTCTGTGATTCATTTATCTTTATCTGACATACACAAGACAAAACCAAATAACTTCATCTTTCATGTCTAACACTGCATTAAAAAAACCAGGTCTAGGACACAGACCATGAGCATTAATCCTGATTACTGGCTTCCTTTCAACTACCAAACAAATAAATACCCTTTTACTGTTACCAAGCTAACATGTGCTGCCAGGTTTGTACCAGCTGAAGTTAATGGTAACAGGCACATGTGTCTTAAAAAACTCTCCTCCATTCACTTCTTTTAGGATACGTTCCAAAAGTTTAATCATTTTTTTAACCACTCCAAAAAGCAAAGAAAAATAATTTCCAAACAGTCTCGATACATTTTCTGCCTTCCTGCACTGAGTCTGAGCCTTCAGTACCTTCTTTAACACCACGAGCTTCTCAGACAAGCTGCCTTTCCAATTTTCTGCTTCTTTAGCAGGTGCAAAAGTTTAAAGCAGGAGCCAAGTTTGCCAGACAAACACAGTCTTGAGTCTGACAATCTCTTCACAGCTCAATTAACAGCGACTTATTTTTCCAATTAACCACCTTTGTGCCCTCCTGTTTAAAATACCTCAGAACGCATTTTTGCATTGCTGATTTCCCCAACAATTCTTAAACTGAAACAAACCACACAAAAACGTTTCAGAACGCTTTTGGATACATTACCAGCATTGAGCTACTGCTTCACTTGATAAACAGTCCAGATGGGATATAAAAAGCTGATGCATACTATAAATAAATATACTGCCCTGGAACAGCAGGCAGAAGCTGGATGGAGATAGAAAGGAGATGGGTGGCAAGACTCATTGCTCCAAACTCTACACAGAGTGAAGAGGAAGGAGGCACAAACTTGATCACAGAGGAAGCAGAAGGTGAGTGGTTATTCAGGATGGGAAAAGGCTCCAGGAGCAGTCAGACATCCCTGGCTCTGCCAGGCAGCCCAGCTGCAGCCAGAGTGCTGCGGGGACCACAAGCATGGGACAGGCAGGCAGGGAAGAACAACACTGGAAGGGTGATGGGAAGAAAGACCCAGATGGAAAACAAGCAGGCAGCAGGGAAGGAAAGTCAGTTAAAGATGCTTGGCTGAACATGGATTTCTCTGCCAAGGAGCAGGGAAGGAAAAAGGATGAGTTGGCCTGAACCAAAGCACTGAGGGAGGGCATGGGGTGAGCTCTGACAGCTCAGGCAGAACAGATCAGAAAGGAGGATGGGCAGCAGAGTCTCCAGCCTTCATAGAAACTCCTTTGGGCTCAACCTGAAGCAAAGATTCCTGGCTCCAATCACACTTGTGTGTGGCCTCCCAGTGAAACGTGGAAATGAAAATTGCTGCCTCGGCTCCGAGCTACACATCGGGAGCTCGGGTCAGGAATGGGGGTCCACACATGGAACACAAAGGATTCCCTCCTGACACACACGTGGGTTACACCCAGTACCACACTTAAAGTTCCACTTTTAAAAGTCTAATTACACTGAGGAGAGCCTCTACATGGCCAGGCACACAAAGCTGGGAGTTTTGGACAACTTCTGAGCAGCCTCATCTCACTTTCTGAGCAGGTACTGACCAGATACTGCACTGCACTCACACAAAGTGGCCAAACCACCAGTGCACAGACCTGGTTCTGCCATTTCCCAGTTCCTGAGTGCTTGACTTTGTAGAGCCTTAATAAAGGTCTTTTAGAAGTAGCTCTCTGTGGATAATTGTGTGTGGGAAATTTGCCAACTCAAACATGAGGGAGTTCAAGAGGCTTTTCTAATCTTGTGAGTTTATCCACTAAAGAAAAAGATTTGATTAAAAAAAATGAAGTACAGCTAAACTGGGAACAATACTTTTACTACGGGCTGTTCTTCATAGGCACTTTGAAATCTTAAAAAAAAACCACCCCAAACCACAAAATTAGGAACTTATTAAATCAGAATGAAATGTACCGATGCAGAAACATAAACAGAAATGCCAGATGTATAATGTCAACTTGTAATATGCAGCTTCAATTAATTCTTCTTAATTCATTTGTTTTCTTAACTTCTTTTGTTTTGCCATCTGGAAAAGGCCATTTTCTAATGACAGATCACAGGAGGAAAGATCCAAAGTTCAAGTCTGCTTCAAGGAAAAGCAGCTTTGTTTCTGTGCTCGCAGGCCCCGCGTTCCTTTTGTACTTTCACTCACACAGAGGCTTCAGGACAAACTTCGGCCCGGGCTGGGAGGCAAAGACCTATGTGGAAGTTTAGGAAAGGTTTCAAAAAGTTTTACTCTTCAGGTACAAACATGAAAGCAGTTCTTTAGCAGGAAATGAAGCCACAGGGAACAGCAGAGTGACTGACAGGCCCACAGTGACTTTGGAAGTGTGCAGGTCTGTGCTCATTAGAATACGATGTGCAAGAGATTCCTGACTGGCTCTTAGCTGGGCTATTTTAAAAATTATCCAGTAAAAAAACACAACTAACCCATCAATAAACCAAACAAATTTTACAGGTGAGTGGTGGAAACACACAATTACTTTGTTGTCTGAAGCTCATCAAACTAAAAGTGAGGATCAGCACAATGAGAAGTGTGGCACTGACACACATTGGACAAAGTGATCAGAAAACGTGGAGCTGTCAAAGCAATATAAAAACTTAACTGGACATGGTCAAAGGATCAGCACTGCCCTGCTTGAACAATAAATCCCATGATTTATCTTACTGTAACAGATGATTTATACCAGCACTGGATCCCACTGTCAGCTCTTAATGAGCCTGAGAACTTCAAGGTTTCACTGTACAAATAAGCAGCCTTGCTCAGTGAGCTCTTTTGTCTCTAAAATGCCTAAATGTTGGTTTGTACAGATATTTTCTAATTAATTAGTAAATAAGGTTTGCAGACGTGTCTGACTCCAAAGAGCAGCCACTTACACAGCCGGTACTGAACTGGTGTCACTCCCTGCGTTCCCTCCTGTTTGTGTCAGTGTTTCTGACTTACCAAACAAAAGCTCAGCTGCATCCACCGAAATCCACTCACCACCTGTCCCATCTCCACTTGCTCACTTGAGGATCTGGGCCACGGATGCCCAGCCATTCCCAAAGCATGGAACAGCAGCTCTGAAGGCCCCCTCGCTGCTCAGCAGTTCTGGTGCAGCTGTGACCCAGCCACAACAAACAGAATGTTGTTTACACGGGTGTTCACTTCAAACACAGGGATTTTGGGCCGTGTTCTTTTCTCAGTTACTTTATATGGAGAACACAACTCGGGACATGGCATTTCAGGTCAGCAGGCTGAGCAAGAGAAGTATTGTTTCAAAAGTGAAGAGTACGACAGTTAAGCCACTATTGTGCCTGAGAATTAAGGGCATTCCAATTAAGAGACAAAAGTGCCATTTTTTTGAAGAAAAGGGATGACACTTTTCTTCCAGGGGGGAATTGCAACCTCAAGTATCTTGAGAGGCGAGTGATCCACTCTGTGCACACCACGATGCAAATATGCAGACAAGAATCGCAAGTTCACATGTGCAGAGAATAGAAACCCTTCCGAGTTTATTGGTGACAAGAAACTCTATAGTGATTTGCAAAGTGAAGTTCCAACTTTATCCCACTAACAGCATTTCAGGAGGAAAAAGTCACATGGAATACCAGCATCAAGCTATTACAATCCTGTATTTTTAGAAAATGACATTATGGTACATCAATCCCCCTCAACATGACAGGCATGGCATGATCTTGTTCTTCAGCCCCCAGGGCTATTCCACAGCCACCTGAGTTGGGTTCTGGCTCCCACACGTTCCAGTTGTGCACTCCCAGCTGACAACTGCCAATGCACAGCAATACTGATGATCATTCATGCACAGAGTATTTGCTTTAAGATGTGGATAACTACATAAAAATAGCAGAAAACCATTTTCCACTCGTTTCCCAGCACTAGGCTTCCAGATATTTTGTACACCTATTTATATCAAATTTGCCCAAAGAGTGCACCAAGCAGCCTCTCCCGGCTCTTAAAGAAATTAACAATAAACATGTGTGCAAGTGGTCATCTTAAAGTAACAGCAAGGACAATAACTAGATTAGTAATAACTTGATTTCTACTATCATGTATCAATCACAGTTTTCTAACATCTGTTGCTGTGTCAGGACCCCAGACAATAATCTTATTTAGAAACCCTATGTTTTCATGCATTAACTTCCTAAGATGTACAATGTCCTCCAGAATATGAATGTTTCATGAAAACATTTGCTCTGGTGTTGTCATGGAAGGAAAAACTTACAAAAGGTCCAGGTGATTTAAGAACATCTATCCAATATATTTTTGCACTGTATCTACAGACTGGCCTTTTATGAACCTTGGAAGAAAAAAAGCACTTAATGTTTCTTTCTACTGCCTATGACAGAAGGGTTTGGTCAGACAGACAGGCAGTGGGGATCCCACTGATCAGCTGTTTTATTTTAAGCTCAGCAAAAGCAAAGCATTACCCAGACAATTCAGGGCTGTCAGAAACAGTGAGGAAAGACCTTAGAATTTTGTTAAATTCCAAAAGATAGGCAGTTAAATTAAGAGTCTTGTTTAGGACTGATGATGTGGGTCAGCCCCAACTGCAGGTTACAGTCCTGACCAGCAGATCCTCTGTTGGTCTCCCTGCCCATGTGTTTTTAGGGAATCTGCCAAAGCATGAGAGCGTTTCCTGGGACCTCTTTACAATCCTGGAGTGAAAACACCAGGACAACTTTGATTTAAAGGTCCAGGCTGTCAGAGATCACCAAGAAGTGACCACTGAACACTGGGGGAGGACACAAGTGCTGCTGCCTTTGCCCTGTGCCTCCTCACAGTGTGTGTACAATTTACCTGAACATTACTACAGATATCCTCACAGCAGAGCAGCTTAAAGCTTTGATCTTCTCCCCTTTACTCTGCAAAGACAGTGATTTTTTTTTTTAACCAACCTTTTTTTTTAGTCTGTTTTTCAGCAGAAAGGACCCTCAAAAAACCCTATTTTTTTAAAGCAAATCAGGAATTCATCTTTTCTTACAAGAGTGAGATCAAGATATTTACAGCCTCTGGAAAAAACTACTTCACAGCTCAGTAAAGGTTTTTTCAAATACATTCTTCAAAGCCATGGAAACTAATGCTGCAACATCACTTACAACCCTGTCCTTCTGAAAAGGGCTCTTTTACAATGTTTCATTTAAAAGTTCTCTTTACTCCTCCTGCCCGAAAAGTGTCTTTTTCTGGATGGGTTCTGCCCAACGTGTCCCACTGAACTCACTGCTTCCCTCTTCCCAGCTCAGCTCCCACCTTCCCTGCCCTTTGGCCCTTCCCTCCTGAGCAGAGAAATCACCAGCACCTTAAAACGCTAAAAATGCACCTCTCCTTTTCTGCTGAATCTTCTACAAGTACTTCCAGAGTCGTGATCACAGGCTGAACACACCGGTTACAGGGTTTGTTCCACCCATTTTCTTATTAAGCCTCACGTAAAATCTCACTTATTTGCACTTGCAAAGAAGGAAACCCTTGAGACACAAGTGGGACAAACATAAAGGTCAAGGAGTGCAGCAGACAGGTTGCAGCCCAACAGCTTTCTCATGGCATCACAGGAATAAGGAAGGAATGACAGAAGGCATTTTTAAAAGGCTTATCTTAATCAGGAAATGCTCACAAAAAATTTTGTCACCGCTGGTTTTTGGGTCTGCCATTTAAGAAGATATGTGAATTTACCTCCACCAAAACTATTTCACCTACTGAATCCATCATGTTAAACACTGAGTTTATGCACCTTGTGCTAAAAGGAAGCTTAGAAACAAAATTACCTTCACCTTAATCTGCATGTGCTGTCAAGTGTCTTTTAACTACTGAACCCAACTAACCTGGGAAGTGGGATGTTACCTTGTACCTCAGCAGCCAACAGGGTTACTCTGAACAACACTTTTGTGTACCAGACTCCTGATGGGGTGGTTTGGGTTGATTTTAAAATTAGTCTGGGGAGGGGGGGGGAAAAAAAATCACCCTGAAACAAACCTGCAAGTTTCCTTATGCCACAAACAAAGCTGACAAGAGAACACTGTTTCCTCCCCACCTCTAAAACTGTGAGAACAGGACAAAAGTAATGAAGGAAACATTAATTTGGGGGCTTTCATTTTTCTTTTCTTTTTTTTTCCTTTTTTTTTTTTTTTTTTAAGATGCTACATAGTCAAACAGGATTGGTCTTTTACGGCATAGGACTAGTTTACTACTACTATTTTTTTTCCCCTAGATAGACTTATTTACATACAAAAACAAGTTTCCTGACCACTGTTTTCCCCAATGCTCAGATGATCAAAACTCCCAACAACTGTGTAGTGCCCAAAACCCCAGGAGGCAGAAGAATCTCGCACCAGCACAGCAGCAAATTTTTCGCTCTAATCGCTGCCTTTGAACAGGAGCCTTTTCAGACCACGCAGGATTAGTCAGTTTTGGGACGAGAAGGAAACGTGAGATGAAATACATTAAAGAAGTCAAATATGCATCCAAACATCTCCGGATAACATTTTTAATTCAACTAAATGACCCGACAGCAGCGTAGCTTGGTCCCCTTGGTGAGAACAAGGCATCGCCCCTTCATCCCAAGCGCGTCCCGCCGTCAGCACGAGCCCCTCGGTGCTGCCCGGCACCCCCTGTGCCCACACACGGCTCTCTGCAGCTGCTCGCTACTCAGGAAGTGCCAAGAAACTGGGAACTTGCACAGAGCTGAAGACACCGACAGAAACTGTTAAATTTATGAGCAGAATGGTGGATTAACGTATTTTACAGAAGTTATCGACACCTCCTGCCTAACCCAGCTCCAAACATCCCTAGGGCCAGCTCCAGCACTGGAGGAAGAGGGTTTATTTTTTTTTTCTAGTTTTCCTTTTTTTTTCTTTTTTTTTTTTTAAAAAGAGGTAATCCAGCAACATGTACCAGGGTCTAAGAATGTTTAAAATGACATATACAATATTCCATTGTAGTGTTAAATCAGGATTTTCTCCTCCCCCCCCCCCTTCATCACTGAAGCATGTTCTCTTTCATTCCTTCGCTCATCATACATTTTAAACTTTCTAGATTATGTTACATAGTATTTGTGCAGGGGTAATTTAAAGGCAAGACCTGTGAGATGTCATACATTAATTTTTTTTTTTTAAACATTGTTATGAATAAATTTAATCCAATGATATGGCAGAACCATCAAACCAATTTACAATTTCCAGCATGCTGCCTCTACAAGGCTATTTTTCCTATAATTACACCAAAGACAAAGAACAAAACCACCAAAGCAAGTAGTCTGGAGCTGAGCCCTTCGTCCTTGACAGCAGCTGCAGAAGGAGAGATTGGGTTGTTTGGCTGGGGTACCTTCCTCATCCGCAGTCCATCTTCTTCCTAAAGGGAGAGACAGTGATTAATTCCATGAAAAAAAGCTTTAAACATTCACCCTGAACCACATTTATTTAGGTGGGTGTTCTACAATAGGTGAAAGGTAATTTACAGCTAATTCAGAGCTCTAGTTCCTAAATAACCCTGAGAAGGAAAGGGCAGTGAGGTAGGAGAGGAATTCTGGATCTACTGGAGTGGAAGAGCAAAAGCCACAAGCTCCTTGAAGTCTCCTCCTCCTAAGGGAACAGGAAGAATGGGGAAGCCATTCTTGTCCAAGGTCTAGAGACATCCTCAGAACTCCAAAAAGAACGATGGAGGGAATGGCCTGTAGATGCTTTTCTTGCTCTGTGAGCACATAAAGTGCTCTTGGGGAAAACATTTTTCAGCACAACTGAGATAAAGCTGCGTATTTTTCCCAACCCAAGGCAATTACACTCATCATTCCCCCAGTCAGATGTCAGATGTCACAAGCAAATTTTCCCAGCCTTTGAAGGGAAATCTATTTCCCCCATCACATTAATGCTGACATTTTGACATGAAACTAATGGCAATAATTAGGATATTTCCTTGGTACGAGCTTGACAGCTCACTTGATTGAAAGATGAATGAGACAAGAGATGAAACAGCATAGCACCACCAAATATTATCATTTCAAGGGGAGATGATGCTCCTCAGCTTTACCTAAAGTGTTGTGCAGCACAGCTGTGTGTTAGCACACTCCAGTCCACACACACACACTCAGAGCACTTCAGGAGAGGGGAAAATGAGCCTTTGGTGACCTTATTTGTGTCCAGCTGAAGCAACAGTGTTAGAGTGTTTAATGTGATACGGTATTACAGTGCAAAAGTATAAGATACTGAAGGAAAAGCCTATAAAAAAACCACTCAAAATTGCAATAAAAGTTACTGCAGCCTTAAAAACTGTTAGGTAAGTGAAATTCAAAAGGCTCGGGGTATGTCAGTGTTTCTCACTTTTGAATTTAAAGGGACACCTGAACATTCTGGATAACTTATTTATTAATTAATTTATTTACTCATTAAGTCTCAGGCCACCTGATACTCCACTGCTGCTCTAAGTCTGCACAGGGACAACTGGTTTTTGTAAATAATAACATGTTGTTTACATATACAGTAATCTCACTGCTAGAAACAACAAGTTTCCCTTTGAAATATTTTTAATTCCTCCTGACACTCCTGACACTGGCCTGACACTGACAGCACCTGGGAGCTGGCAGTGATTCACCACTGCTTTCTGATGTTTTACAGATGTTTCTGCGCCCCACAAAGGGAACAAAGAGCTCACCAGGTCAGGGTGTCAGCTGATTTAAGACATCAGCTCAGTTCTAGATAGCTCCTGTAGAGTGTTTATTCAGGAGTGATTCACAAAAAAATTAAGTAAAAGCAGACAGTACTTATAGTAATGAGTTGCTGGCGAGACAAGAACACAAGGAGAAGTTACTGTTGTATTACATTGTTATTTCTGTGCACAACAAAACTGGTTTGAAGTATTTCCTCATGCATCAGCCAGAGCTGAGAGAGCAGAATCCCTTCAGCTGGGCTGCAAGTCACAAAATCTAAATGTTCCTCGGTGCTGATATCTATGGAACCAGACACTTGAAACAAATGAAACTGCTGCAAAAAGAGTTTCTCAGCACAGTGGTAAAGGCTGCTCGACTGCTCCATTTCCCAGCCATGTGCTGGATACGACAGGGAGCACATTTCCCATTCATCTGTTTTAACCTGGCCATTTCAATGGCTTATTACAGGTGCAGTCACTAAAACACTCAGTATTTGCACAACACTGCCCTCAAGCTCCCACAGGTTTGGGAGAACGGGGCCAAACCCAACACTGAATTAATTCACACTGAGAAAATTAGGTGGGAGAAGAAGAAAAGAGGGGTAATTCGTTACTCCAGTTGCCTCCAATCAGTTTCTCTCACTTGTACCTCCTTTCAAAGGAACCATTGATTTCAGCACCTTTTCACAGTTTAGAGAGAGAAAACTTCAGTTATCTTTTACTTTAGAGACAATATTCAAATATTGGGCTAAGGTCAGGGAATCAAACCTTGAAGTTGAAAGCTTCTTTTTCAGGAAAGGGGTAAATCTGAAAAGAAAACAACAGATATCTTTACCTTAAACTGTTTATTCTCCTCCCGTAACCTCTGAACTTCTACTTGAAGCCTCTTATAGTCTTCCATTACTTTCTTAACTTCAGTGTCATCCAAAGAAGAACTTATTGATTTAGACATTACAGAGGAATCTGTCTTTGTTGCAGTTGTGGATACAATTTTATTTATTTCTATGTCATGCTGTTAAAAAAGGACAGAGTGATTTTTGGTTAGTTATTAACACCACACCACACACCTGGTACTTAGGAGGAGGATCAGGTAAAATTGTCTGTGCACACCTGAAACGTGCCTGTATCAAAAGAAATAAACAACATTTTTCTTTCTGTAATCCCAATTACAGGCTGTCCAGTGCAAGGTGGAACAACTGTGCCTTTAGCACCTGCACCTTAGGAAACATTTCTCAGTTTATTCAAACTATTATCTGTTCTACACTGGACACCACACAGTTCCCTTAGAAATCATTGTGTTCATTACCCTAACAAAAAAGGATCCTGCAGTATTATAGCTGCTAATTGCAATATAATCCCTAACTGCATTTGTGTTTTCCTCACCAGCTTTCCACCAATTTACTTGCTAAAATCAGCATTGTCCCAAGGAAGCAAAGGGCATTGGACAGACAAATTATATTGCTGCTGTATTCAGTATAAACTCCGAGCTTTACAACCACCACATCAGCATCTTTACATTTTTTAAAAATATTCTTTATGCTGAGATCTAAATGAAAACAGATTAACTCAGACTGCTCTGTGCTACTGTTGCAGTTGCATTGTTCAAATTAGCTGCCAGTTACATTAAGGATTAACAACACTTCAAACAGTTTACACTGTGTTTTTAAAGGGTGATTCCATCCAGGCAGTGAAACAGAGGGTTCTGTCCTTTGCTTATAGAGCTGTCTGTACAAACATGCCATTTTACAGGATTTACTGTGGTATTAAGTTAAATCACTCAATATGCATCTGAAAATACTCACAGGCTTATCATTTTCTGCTGGTAGCTCAAACACACACCTAAGTTTCGAATCCATGAGTTCTTCCGGTTTTGCTTCTTTCCACTGGAATAATTTAATATTAATTCAGTATTAAACATATCAGCATAATAAGGCAGATGGAAAATGCAGCGTATTATGTAAACAAATCACATCATTTTACTCAGGGAAAAAACTCACAGGTGTTTATCATGTTCCATTAACCACATACAGGATGAAAAATGAAATCAAATATGTGACTGATTGGCATCGTGAAAACAGACCAGACACTATGAAGCAAATCATTCCAAACAGTCTGAAACCTCCACAGGTAATTTATGAGGACTGGGAGCTGTGTCAGAGTAATTAGCAGAGATAGGGGGAGCTGTGGGCCTGGTTAAAAAAAAAAAGGAAACAGGAGGAGTGAATTCAAAGGAAGGGAAAGATAACAAAAGCCCAAATCAATCACAGAGTTAGTTGGGAAGTCTTTGCCGAGTTCCTATTCAAACTTTTCAAATTTCACATACAGAGATAATCCCCCTCTCACCTTCTCTCCCCTCCAACTGGGGACTGCACCATAAACAAGCTTCCTTGCAACATTTTTAATAGGGATTAACAGCAATAAATCTTTGCTGGGTATGAGCTGGAACCCTGAAGTGAAGAGATTTATTCCCAGCAGGGATACACAGCAAGGACTGTCCACACTCATATCCTGCAGTTCTCACGAGCTTCTCTTCACGGTGACCTCACTGCAGGTGGTTGGGTATTCCCAGCATATCTCAAGTAGGTGTCAAATTATGGCCAACCCCGTGCAACCTGAAGGAGCATTTAACTCATCCTAAATAGCTGAATCCTACTCCAGCTCTTCTGGGGCTGAAGTCAGAACTCTATTTTGAGCTCTTTGGCTGCCTGGGAAGTGTTGAAAGCTTTATAGTCCTCCTGTAACTGGGCTCACCTGTTCATCCAGAAGGGGAAGAGGTTTGGAGAGTGGGAACAGGACTGAGAACTGATCAAAGTGTTACAGGAAAAGAAACTGTATCGGGTCTGGAGAGCTCTGGAAAACTGAAAGGCCCATCTAGGTACTAAAAACATTCTCTGCTGGTAGAGTAACATTTGTCATGGTATAAAGTAACTCATAAAAATTAAAGAGTTTGAAAGAAAGGCAGACTGGTTTATCTTTCTAGTGATGCAGATTTTATTACTATTGCTGTTTCTCCCACTGGATCTTATTTTGAGGCCATTAAACAAATACAGTTCCATAAATCTCTTTCAGAAGGGAAATTATTAACCCTGCAGAGTGCCCCAGCCTTAAATAGCTATTCAGAAGAAGACCCATCTTGTAAAGACTACTGTAAAAAAGCCATGATATGTACCCTGAGCTTTGCTGGGGTTACTTTTTTAAGTAACACACACAAGTCTCACACTTGAGTGTAAAGCCCTTTTTCCCCTTTTTATATGGTGTCCTCAACAGCTGCCCTGTGCTCTCCCAAGGCTTCCTTGTGCCTTCTTGTAGTAGCAGATGTTGCCGTTAAAGCAAAGCCAGCAGCTGACAGAATGGTTTGTTCCTTTCAAGGTTGCCCTACTGTAGCCTAAAATCTTCTTTCTACGTCTTTTATCCTTCTTTGCTTCTGCTGCTCTCATTTTTAATCCACAGGACAAAATCTACAAATTTGCCAAAGCCACAGCAGACACAAGCAGGGATAAAGAAAAATACACCACTTGTAAATCATCCTCTTCTTTCTTGCTGGGAAAAGGAGCTGCTCAAGGGAAGGCTCAAGACTGAGAGGAGATGCATAAAATATAAAAGATGCCACAGACTTAGAACATATTCAATGTATTCTTAGAATATAGAGTTCAAGTTGGCCTTTCTAAAAAAGCATATATTGCAAAAAAACTACAACTACTTGTTTTGTGGCTTGGCATCCCATTCCTGACAGCAGCTTCCCAAGGAAGCAACCACGACACCAACTGTCTCTGTCAGTGCAAGATTCCTGGGGCTCAAAATAAACAGGAAACACCTTGCCATGCACAGAGATGGAAATCTGGGAAAGCTTTCCAGGATCATCCCAGTGTGGTTTGACAACAGCCCTCAGGCAATGCAGTAGAAGGGGTTACAGAATTACATAGTTAGAAAGAAATCTATGTAAATTAATGTCAATACTTACGACTGCTTCCATATCTGAAGTATCAGCTGGAGCAAACATAGACTGAACCATAAACTTGTGTTTACTTTTCTCATTAGGGTCATAGTCAAAAGGCTGTAGCATCACTGCAAGAAAAAGCCCCAAAACACATCACATTAATATTGCTCTGATGCAGAGTCATGCCCTGATGACACAGTTACCAGAGTTCAGAAATACAGGCATTAAAATGGGTTCAAGCTGTACATCCTTGGGACCGAAGCAGCAGCTGAGATCAGGAACGTCACTTTAAAGCAAAATTCTGGCAGAAGGTAAGAGAAACACACTTCTCCAGCCTGTCTAGACTTCAGTCTGAGAATTCTCTGGAATTGCTGATCACTTCACAACATTCTGTACACAACTGTGGCAGGATAACAATAGTAATTTATAGTAAATAGGATAATTTACATATCCTCTGGGACAGAGGGAGAAATTTTCAAAGACAGCATCTTTTTGTCTTCCTTCCCCCTTGGGGCAGAAGTAACAAGCATTTGCATGAGCTGTGCACACAGTATTGCTGATGGTGCCTGAGCAAAGCTACAGAGGCAAAGGCAAACACTGTAAACCTTGAGGTTCCAGTCTCAGGATGGAAATTTCCTCTGCAAAGTTTAGGAGCCTCACGGTACGTTCCGTATCGAGTACGAGTATTTCACTTCCAAAAATAAGTCACTGAATGTTTGTTACCAATTTATAGCTGGAAGTTAATGGTTAAATGTGATGTAAACTTTGCCTCTGAAAGGTATACAAGGAATGTATTTCTCTCCATTTACAAATCAAAAGCATTCCAGAATTTACTTATGCAGAAAATGACTGTGTTCATGGGGGCACAGGAAGGAACAGCAGGTTTAGGGGTGCTTTTATTTGATTTTTCGTGTAGTATTAGGAGTTTCCAAGTCTTTTCTTTTAGGGTAAAGAACTAACACATTAAAGTATCTTGAAGAGGGAAAGTGAAATATTTAATTTACATGAAATACTCTTTAATCACAGTGGTCACATTTGCAAATGACACCTGGATACGTGGCTATTGTGACATTAAAAAACACGGGTTTGGCTTCAACACGAGATAGAACATGTGAAAATAAGCAGCAGAGTTTACACAAACACGTCATTAGATATTGCAAGAAGCCACCAACTCCCTCCAATTTAAAATGAAGCTTATAAATACTGCCATTATAGCTACCATAAAAAATGATGCAAAAATTCACATTTTATGACCAGTGAGCTCACTTCAGTCCCTCAATTCAATCACTGAGAAGAGAAGCAGTTCAAGAATTAGGATTACTTTCAAGTACTGGTGCTATTAACATGATGTGCCCAGATTCACATGCACTAATTGCAGGGGTTCATCGTATAAAAGCAATATCCAGTGATCCCATTTGTTGCAGATGAAGGCAAGTCAAAGCAATTTGCCTCAATGAGCAGAGGATGTTATGGCTGTGCCATCTTTATTATGCACACAATCTGTGGCCATCAACAACCACACGCCTTTTAAAGCCCGGAGAGAAGGAAGACAATAAATTCCCTCCCAGGAGGTGCTTCAAAAATTATTATACATTTTTAACTCACCTTGCAGTAACGGAACACCAGTCCAAAATAAGTGTTTGCAAATTAAAGCAGGCTACTTTTAAAACTCTTTTCCCAACGGAAGTGACTGCACCGTGAGAACACGTTCGTTTCAGCACCGCCTGACACATCACTGAAAAGCAGCAAAGTTTTGTCCTTTGCTGCAGCGGACACTGGAATTAGTTCAAACCTACATAATGGGCAAGATCCAACTGGAGAGGCAAAACTATCCACTGTTTATGGAAGTTGTACAGATTGTGGGTTTCTCAGCCCCGCTTTGCTGAGCTCATTTGGAACTCAGGATTCCCCGAGTGACAGAGCTGAATCCATCCTGGAACGCTGCTCGGAGCTCCGTTCACTGAGTCACAAGAGCGAGAGGGGGCTCGACAGCACAACCCTTGTTAGCACTTGTATTTTTAGATCAATACATGAAAGCCACATTGACACAAATTATTCAGCAAATGTCTTGTAAGCCAGATGGGAAGCTCAAAAATATGTACTTTGTACAAGAGGAAAGTGAATCATTTCAATATTTATTCACGTGCTAGTGGGGCTTTCTGTGAAAGATCAGCTCCATGGAAGTGCCCTAATTGCTGGAGAATTTGCTGCTGGGAACATGGCTCCTTTGCTTTGAATGGAAACCACATACTTGATGCAAAAACTACGTGAAAAGTGTGTTCCTACAAAATGCCTCATCACATCATTCACCTCAGCTGGTCAGAAGCTTCAGCTTTCAGCAGAATCCAGAGTTTTAAGAAACAAGATTATTAATATGATCTTCAAGTTTACTACCACCAGCATCCGTCAGGTAGAGACACGTATTTCAAACACCTTCTTAACTGATTCCCCCCAGCTGAAACACTCAGCTGAATTTAGTGTTCTGCCCTGAGCAAAAACTGCACAGTCACTGAGATCAATGCAGTGAGGAGCAATGCAAGTTGTATTTATGTGAGCCCACTTGTCTCTCTCAAAATTCAAACACGAAGGACTGACCTACTGCACACCCTGAAGTGTTTCTAAAGCAGTGGACACCACTTTTCTCACACATCCCTGCCATACCCCCCTGTATCTCTAGATAGCCAGGAGAGGCACTGACCACCCACCATCCTCTTTCTTTTCCCAGAACAGTTTACTGGCAAAGTTAGTGACAATGTCAGAAGCATTAAGCTCTTCTGGTTGTCCTAGGGTAAACCTGCTTTCTCAAGGAACAGAGGAAATCTGAAGCAAGGATGATGGAAGGAGGCAAAATTCTACCTCTGACACCTGCTGGGATCTACCTTTCCCTTCCAGGAGCAGAAGGAACAGAAAAGTCTCCCAGCTCAGATGGTCAGCAACCTTCCTCTAGTTTCCATCTAAATTTATTAATGGCCTGTTTACTTGGTCCTGGACCAATACTGCCCTTCTGCTTAAATATCAGAGAAGGGGAAGAGTCATTTACTTCTGGTGCACTCCAAGCCATCAATCACAGCGACTCTTGGCCTTGTGGCACACTCAGTAAGCCAGACTCAGTGGGTCCTGCCTGGGCCAGGCTCCCCATTCATTCTCTGCACCTGTTCTGGCATCAACTCCTCTAGATGAGCTGCTCTAATTATACACCCAGGCAATTCTGCCAGTGCCTCGGACAACAGCATTTCTACCCTCTTCCCTCTGCCATTATCAGCCTCTTTGTCACATATTTGCCTACAAATGCAGATGTGTGGTACCACATTTGCCTTTCTCACAGCCACATTATGTCAGCATCTTGCTCAGCCCAGTCAGGCCCCTTTGTTTAACAAGTTTGCAATTAATAGCAGGAGTATTTTATTCTCCAAATATGTGATTTTGCAGTTTTTTCTAATGAAACTCATCCTCTGTTTGTCTCACTGTAGCCTTCAAGGACACCTAGTTCTGCTGCATAACTTCAGCCTCCCAACTTTACACCACCATCAGGGTTTTTAGTGTTCTCTTTGTGCCAGAATTGCTTGTAAAAGCATTAAACAAGATTAGTACCAAGAATCATTCTCAAGAAACGTCACTAGTAACTTCCTGCTGTTGCATTTCCATCCACCACATCACTGTTCACTCTCAAGCAGCTCATTCAACATTCTGTGAATCCATTTTTCTTTTCCAGCTTTATTGATCTTTTTCCCAAATGACACTGACTGCAATTCTTTATGGTCTGGACGGATCAAATCTGCCACGTTTATGTCACCTGTCCACAAAATACCCCAAGCAGGGGCAAGCCTCAAGTTCACTGTGCAATTAGATCAGCTCTGCCAGAGGTGAAGAAGGACATTGCAGTACAGAAGTCCATTGCACCCCTCCAGGTTTGCTCCACGTTTACAGAAACAAACATAAAATCTCTGTAAATATCTCAAGAATCCTAAAAAATGTTGAATCTGGGAAGACCAAGACAGAATCTTTTAAAGCAAGGAGGCACAACCATCCCAAAACTTGGCAGTGGCTACAGGGTCCTGGGAGGTTGATGGGAAGAAGGCAGAGCAGCGATGCTGCTGAGGGAAAGTTTGGGAATGCAGCAGTGGATGAGGGAAGGGGGCAGCCCCCCTGTGACTGCAGAGCACAGGGCTGAGCTCCATCCCTGCTGAAGGCAATGCCAGCTGCCTTTTCCAAGCCAGGCAAGCTCACCAAAGAGTAAAAATCCTCCTGAGGATATTCAACAGCAACCTGAGGCCATCACCAGCCTCTCCCCGTTTTCAGGCAGCGTGTTCAGACTGCTCTCTTCAGCAGGACACCGGCACAGATGGTTCCTTCTGCACTTCCTCTCTCCCCCCTCACACACCTCACCAGCATCTGCTGAGGGTTTTTTCACTTCTCCTTTGTAATCCATTCATGCCTTTGATTTAGATCTCAGAAAAAAAAAAAATCTCAGGTACCTCTGCAGAAATCACACGTGTCTAACAAAAAGGGAATGTGTGCAAATGCTCCTCTTTGCCCAGCATCTCAGAGCACATGCAGAGCCATCAGCTGACAGCACACACACAGACGCTCCCCGACAGTTACATAAACTCAGCTGTTAAAATTACATGCCATTATATAACAGGTGAAAACACGGGCTCCAAACCTGCCACCACAGCGAGCAGCACACGCTGACAGGGCCTGAAATGCTGGGATTTAGGGAAAGCTGTGATTTGGCATAAGAAGCCAGTTATTTGAGACTCCACTAGAATAAAGCAAGCTTTATATTTCTAGCATTTGGTGTGTTTTTAAATGAGCCATCATATTAGTACGAAATAAAGTGGAATAACGTTGGAACTGCTGCCTCTGTCTCAGGGTAGAATATCTGCTCATATACTTACATCAAATTAGTACAGATTTAGTTCCACAGGAGTGTTACAGAGGCATCTGGTTACTACAGTGCAAGGAGATGAGGCTGCCCCAAATTCAGCTGCAGTCAGTAACACTCTGAGAAACTAATAAATCATTCCAGAGCTTCATGCCACCACAGGCACTGATTTTTTGGAGAGACAAACCAGTGCAATCAGTGGCTCTGGTAAAGCCAGTCAGCAATTCCCAAGAGGACAGATTGCATATAGTAAATACAGCCCAATTAGTTTAAGTGTCCAGAAGTTACTACTGAATTAACTCCATTCTAATAATTTCTCATCAGTAGTATTTTCACTAGGTTTGGAGGAATTCAAGCCCTATTTATTCAAGTCCTATTTTTATGCCCTGTTCAAGACTTGAATTACAGGACTGAAAAATAACTGATTCAGAGGCAAAGAAACAAATTCTATTTATTTTTCACTTCATTAACTCCAAAATCACTCCTCTGTTCTCAAGCAACATTACCCCAAAGCAAAGGTTAAACACGTTCTCTCCCCCTTCTGTGAACCTGAAAACAATTCTGTTCTGTAAGTTAATGACTCCGGAGTCCCCTCTGATCCCTATCCAAAGAATCCCATCTGCTGATTAGAACCAAAGACACTGCCAACTTAAGGTCCAAATTTAGGTCCCATGCACGGTTTAAAGGACCTACCAGAACTGCCATATATACAGCTCCATTAAACTGCAGTTCAGAATGTTTTAGGAAATAAAAATTAACACTTGTAACAAATTCTGTAATATCTACCTATGCATTTACCTCAATATTACCTGAAGAACAGTGAATGTGTACTGTTTGCATTTTAAAATATAATGCTAATGTAAGGACATTGGTAATTTAGGACTCTTATTTATTACTGAAATGATTATCAGCATGAAAATGTTAGAACACACATGTGAGCTTGGGATTAAACACACCACAGCCATTTGCAAAACCAACCAAATCATAAATCACCATAAACAAGGTCACCAGAAAAGGGAAAATTGTAAAGCTGTGTAAGCAAGAGGAAAGCACAGCTCAGGGTTGGCACAGCAGGCTCATAGCGGGGTACTTGAAGCCTTGGACTAGATCCACACTCTCTGCTGTGCCACGGGGAAGAGTGAGGCTGCAAAGGCAAGTTGCTGGTAGCATAACATGAGATGCTTCCTGCAACACCCTCCTGTACTGTTTGCTCAAGGTGGAGCAAAGGGACACACAAAGTGAGCAGAGGTTTAAGAAAACACTCAACGCTGAGATCAAGACGACATTAAAGAGCCTGTGAAGGAAGCAGGCTTTTAATTCTCAAAGTTGATCTGCAAGATGAAAAGCAACCACATCTTTATAGCATGAAGATAATTTGTAGCTAGAAACCATGCTAATTTTCATTATCATTTCATTGATTTCAATGCATTTGATATGCTTGCCTGCAGCTAGGAGAGATGACAGACAGCTTTACTTGGGAATTGTCCCGACTTTTAAAAATCGAAATTTCTCTCTAGAGAGCTTTTTCATTTACATATTACTCATTTCGGAGCTCACTGGCTACGTGCTGGCCTTCTCCTGAAGCAGAAGTGCTTTGCCTGCCCCACCTGTAGCTCCCACTGCAATCGAGGCACGGTCCTGCAGCAGTTTGCACGCTCAATTGGACACCGAAATCCCAAAGACAACGGATCAATGAGTGTGCAAATGTGGGCATGCACAGGAGGACTTACAGGATCAGGCTTGCTTAATGTCACAGTGCAAAGTATTTTTGGGAGCAGTTTTTATTTTGTTGAAGCAGGCTCCCCAAGGTGTTAAAATATTTTACATTTTATTAAGTAAAAAAAGTGAAGTCTTGATTTTTACAAGTTGATTTTTTTTTTTCCAAGTAAAAAGCAGTGGGTTTAGCTCCCCAAATTTTTTATTCCAGGTTAGGAAAGGTTGCTAAGAGACTAACAGGGAACTCTATAACCTATCAGTTATTTTTCTTATCCTGATAACATTAAATTCTTTTAAAAATAGTAAAGCAAATCTGCGTATTTAAAGAAATCATTTTCTCAACGAAAAAGTCAGACCTCATTCATGCAATATGCCACTACTACGTGCTTTGGTAGAATTCTCTCTTAAAAACATGGAAAAGTCATTGAGAAAATACACTGTTTTCAGCATGTATCATCAGTGAGTTAACAGTATGCAGACATTCTGTTCATGGGAATACTCAGCTCTTTATGCTTTCAAAGTAAGCCACTCCTTTGTTTTTTCCATTACCAAACTTAGGCAAGTCAAGAGCTACTGACTCATTAGAGAAAATCATTAACTTTTCCTATGGAACAGCAAAGATTTAGTCATTTGACATTTTTAACACCAAAGGATACTGAATCTTCAGGGAACACAAAACAAGCATGGACTGAAAGTAAAGGTTTGCATTGTTGGTTATACCAAGGCAGTTTGGCAACAGCCAACACCAGTCTAAACCAGTGGCTGCAGTCCACCCAGATTTATTCTTCCCTTGTTGTGCTCACCCAAGCACTTGTTTGACCCCATGCTGAGCTGGTTCAGGAAGTTAAGCTGGCAAAAAACGAACTACAAAAATAATCCCACAGGGAGGGCAGGGCTGCAGCAGCACTGGTTCGGATAGGCTGGCTGAGGCTGTTAATGAGCCATATAAATCATTTATGTATTTCTGCCTTTTTCCTCTCCAAAACATGATGTAAAACCAAGCCTACTGCTGCTAGCCCAGGAACAAGGGAGGTGAGGCTACGTGACGTGGCTGCTTCTCCACCAAAACACAACCTGTCGGGTCCGACCAAAGACCTTCAGGCTGCAAAGCATTCACAGTAATTGATTAAAAGAAGCTATTTTCAAATCACAAAAGAACTGCTTGAATGGCTTACCAGAAACATTAATTGATGTTCCTGCATCGATAATTCCACTGTTGGGCCTTACACAGTATCTACGTGGTGCTGTGGTCTTAACTTTGAAGCAAACATTTCTGTCTGTGGGGTTGCCGAGCTTCAGGTTTGTAGTGACAACATCTGTGAAAGGACCTGGCGAGGAGAGAGAAGCAAGACTTGAAATCACACAGAAAGCACTTTTCAAGCAGAGGCTAAGCAGGCTCTAAATCTCTGTTCACAAATCTTATAAAGTCATTAGATGTCCAATTTCCATCTGCGGCACGTACAGATAATCGGGCACGCAAAGCCAGCGCCCCGGCCCTGCTGCAGCTCCAGCCCCACAGCTGAAATGATCATTAACTGCCAGACAAAAGGGGGAAATCATTCCCACGTTGTGCCAGCACCACAACATGGCACTCAGAGGATGCCAAATTCCCTGCTGCATCACAGATACTCCATCCCAGCGAGCCCAGGCTGGCAGAGACACCACATGTATCCATGTTGTAGGTGATAAATAGCGAGCAAACACAGTTTGTTAACTAGGCAGGGAATGATAACAAAGGGGCTACTACAGATCCATCTGCACGTGAAGCTGTACCTCCAGAGAACCAGGAATCCACCAGGTATTCTGGAATGCCACACCAAAACCAGCACAACAAGCAAGTTTGTGTTTGTTTATGGTTTTTTGTTTGTTTGTTAACAACTCTCTTAGCTACTAGAAATTATAACCCAGAAGAAATAAAATAGCCTACCTCACCCAGGGCAGGAAATAACCAAGTGGAAATAGGGGAATTTTTAGATGCTGAGAGCACCGGCAAAGATTTCCACATTAGCAAAGCCAGAATCGAACCATTGTCAAGTCCTGCAGCACCAAGAGCAGGCAAATCCATCCCTCCCAGGCTCCCCACCTAATTGGAACTGCCCAAATCCCTCAGGTTAGAGGAAAGGCTCGTTACTGATTTCCTACAAGACACTGATAAATCAGACAGGCAGCACACAACTATGGTGTTTTACAGATGGTAAAGAAGGAAAATTAAAAGAAATATAACCACACTTTGATCAAATGTCTTCTGCATAGAAGTGATTAATTTGATGCCTGAATAAAATATCTTCATCTGTCCTCAGGAGTAAAAGCAAATTGGTCAAAGAAAAGCATTGAACTTTTCCTTACAGAAATGACAGCCCTAAAATTGAAAAGGGGGGGAATGACAATGATAATAAAAACACTGGCAGGCAACATTCCACCATCCTCCTCCCAGAGCATGGTTGACTTCAGATAATTTAAGTTTGATACTTTTTCTACAAATTTATCACATAAATTTGTCTCCCAAGATGACGTTTCATAGAGTAACAGTACTTCAGCCCCGCATTTATCCTCAATTTGTTTAAAGGAATTAGAAGGGGAAAACCCCAAAACAATCACACACACAAACCCATCCAACCAGACAACAATGTAGCACCATTTCTGCCTGTGCTCTGAACAGACCAGCTTTGCATTTAAAATGCAACCTGGGAGCAAAAAAAAATTGAAGCAATAAAATTTTCAGATCCCATGGCAAAGACATCACTAAACCTGTGCCTGGTGACACACTGTGATGGGAAAGGGAATGAAACACAGCTGTCAAGTTTTCTCTGTGTTCTGCATGCAGAGAGAGACTTGAAGCTCATGGAAAATAACTGGGCAGAAGCGGCCACGAGTTGTTAAAGAAGTTAAACAAGCCAAACCATCAGAAAAATCCTCCAGCAGACATTCAGGTGTGTAAAGACAGTGGCAGATCTTCAAAACAGCTCTATCTGGGAGAAGCCTCAACATCTCAGAAGAAATTACAGGAGGCCTAAGCATTAAGGATGTGCCTTTACTGCAAAATTACAGCTTGAGCTGCTCCAGCACAGAGGGAGGGTGGGCTGAGCAAAGCCCTACCTATGCAGCTGCATCCTCAGCAGTGCTTTCCCGGGACAGATTTCCTGGGGGAAATACCATGTTTTTATTTGGCTGATCCACGAAGGCCTGTGGGATTTGTGTGCCCCAGCAAAGAGCTGCTGTTTGAAACAGCAATACGACAACAATTCTGTGTGTAAAATAATTTCCAAATGGAGTTACTTATTGCTAACACAGATCATACCAAAATATTTGGCAGCAAAACCTTCCAGCAGACGGAATTAATTTCTCCTTGTCTGCTTGACGTTTGCTCTTCTGTTCTGTCCACTAAGCTTTAAACAGTTCCTTTAGCTCCATTCTCCCCCAGCTCCAGGTTTTGCAGCTGGAAGGAAGGCTGACATCTGCTCCCAGCAAAGCTGTGTGAGGCACACTCCTCAGGGCACCGCTGTCCAAACACTGCAGCACAGCAAAACACGGCAGACAAACGCAGGATTAACGTGCCTTTGTGGGCGTCCTGAAGGGTGTAAAAAAAATAAACAGGCAACAGACTATTAACTCAGGGGTAATTGGGGCATGGCAGTGAAATATTATCAGCTTGGCTGGCCCTGCCTTTTGAGAGCAAGGCCCACGGGCTGCCAAGTCGGGCTGAAATGAAACCTTGATAGCCTGTTGTTGGATTACTATGGCCAAGGCTCCAACGTTTTGGGGGGAGAACTATCCCAGGATAAACACAAGCTAATTCTTTACTGGAGATACACCTTTGCTTTCCAACATCTGGATGTGAGCACAGCAGATAAGGCTGGAGTGGGTATTGACAGTCCTACAAGACACACATCTACCCTGGAGCTTCATTTTCCAGTGCAAGGCATCAGGAATTCTGGATTCATACACAGATACAGTGAGACAGAATGCTCTACACTTCTTTCTGATCACTTTGTCCTCACTACAATTTACACAAGTATATGTAACACCTGGACAATGCCTGTCCCCCAAGGTGGGCTGTGAGAGCAGTTACAGTCAGACTGGTGCATTACTTGGGTAAAAGCAAGTGAAGACTGACTCTGTTCCTAACCAGCAGCTGGGTTAAAAACCACAACCCTCACTTCATTATTTTGTTTTGAATGTTTTTTCTATTGCTCATAATATTCCTAAATAAGTGAAACTCGTACAAAGGCAGGGTGCTTTCCAAATGACAATCTGCACTTTAAAATCAGCCTGACTGGTTTTCCTCACGTTTTTTTTTTTTTTAGAGATCATGAGAAAAACGCCACTGGTGTCATCCCAAGGACAGTTATGGGAAACGGGGTCTGTACATGCATCATCTGCCACAGGGTTGTCACGGGAGCGAGCTGCCTACAAGGAAGAATGTAGTAAATTGAATTTGGTGGTGAAAGTCTGAAATATTCCACAAGGGCTTGATGACTCTTTCCTGCCAAAATAAAGACAACTTGTGTTCATGCAAACGGGGCATCTAGTGATATGCAAACCAGCAGAAAGGAAACATCACCTTCTGTACTCATGAAACCACAAGCAGTAAGGTTTTGAAGGTTTTCCATAGGGCCACTTTTCAGCAGGGTTAGTGTCAAACTACAGCTGTGGCTTTCCACCCAAGGAGCTACACAGCCAACCCTGCCCCTGTGAAGATCACAGCTTTGGCTCAGAACCAGCTACACTCCATTTCCTACTCAAACACCAGTGCTGGACCAATCTTTCCTAGGAGTGCCATTCTGCAGTGCACTGTGTTCCAATACACCACACCATTTTAGTAATAATACAAAAGTCTGGGAATTAGGTCAAAAGAACATGATGTCAAATTTATTTAAATTTTAAATAACTCTCACTGCAATAAAAATTGCCCATCATTGTACCAGCAAATCCAGGCTGATAACCTTCTGATCAGCACAGTACTCACTGTGAGATTCTTGCTACTCACAGAAATCACGTCCCACAGTACACTTGTACTGAATCTTAATACAGCCATTCTCACCTGAACCAAAACTCCACACAGCAAACAGTCCTCATACTGTTTGGCAGGTGAAAGAAGTTAGCACAAGTATCAGCAGGGGGAAAGCTTCGATGGCACAGGTTGGGCAGGAACATTCAAACCCACCAGGCACAGTCCCTGGCAGATTTGTACCTGCAAATACTACAACATCTTTATAATTAACTAAACACATCAGGTGGGCCACGGTCCCAGGGTTGCTTTATTCCTGCATGAGTCCATCTCCCTGCTGACAGGGAGGTGTTCTGACCTCTCCTCTCCCCAGCTGCCTGTGCAGGCTGCACAGTGTGTGCCCAGAGCAGAGCCAGGGAGCTGCCTGGGCTGGAAATTAATCCACTTACCGGGCAGGGAGCGAGGGAGGGGGCAGTGGGGAAGAGAAAAAGGAGAATCAGTTTTCAGCCAGACCAAGCAGCACTCAGACCTGGCATCAGGGAAACTGCATCTTCCTGGCCAGCATTCTGCCAAATGAAGGCAGCAAGGTCTCACAGTTAGCAGGTTAAAGCCAGCGAGCACATCCAGGCATAGGCACTGCAGTCACACTTGTGCTGGCATAGCTGCTCAAAGTAATTAAGGCACATGCATTATTTCTTTGTGCTTAAATCTAATGCAAATCCTCATCTGTTTAAAGTCAGATATCCTCTAAAAAATTTAGTGAACTTTTCAGAGAAAAGCACTGCAGGATTACTTGATAGAATTGCAGCCATGTTCAACTGGCACCCACTGACCCACAAGACTAAGGGTAAGTTCTCATCCAGCTGTTCATGCTCTTCCCAGAGTGTTGCAGATGCACTTTCAGCATCTTTCCTTAAAGAACTTCTGCCACTCCAGCTCAGCACAGACACCCTAGAGCAAGGTAATTGGAAACAGCCAGAAACACAGGCAGAGCTTCTAGTGAGAGAAACCTCTCTGTACTTCCTTTGTGGAAAGCATGGAATGCAATAATAGGAGAGGAAGGATGTATTTCACCATGGGTTAATCCCATGGATGTGTCAGACGAAAGTCATTAACCACCTGACACATTAATCAGCCACAGAAAGGTAACCAAGGAATCTTTATTAAGGGAGATGGTGGAGAGCAGGAGAGGGGAAACCTAAACTGGTTTGTGACTACTCTCAAGAGCCCAAATCCCACACACCACTAGGAGATGTCCATCCACATGGAGCAATAATTCACCCAGCGAAAAGGGCCACACTGATCCTCCATGTGCAAGAGGAGAGGGTGGAGCTGAATGGGATACTTGAGGCTCCCTTCCCAAAACAGACATCTCTCTAT